AAATACTATATTAAGTAAAGTTTTACTGCTGAATGCTGAAGTTGTCACTAATATTTTTCTCTTATAAATAATCCACTGAAAATTAAACATCTTTATATGTAACATTTATTTTATATTCTTTATGTTGTTTTCTTTGGCTAGATTACTGGAAATAAAATCAACGGATCCAAGAGTATAAACGTTTTTATGAGTCTCAATTAAGATTATCAAATAATTCACAAACTATTAGGACTTAAATGTTATCAGAAACTCATTAGGATGCCAATTTAATGATATACTTGCAAGTAACATGCCATTATGAAAAAATCGGAGGCAATAATTTATGGGCTCATAATCTTATGTAGTGAACTCAATAAAGTAATTTGTGAAATTTGCTTATCTTTTTGCTTTTTCCAAGAACAAAAAGAACTTCAAAATTCCTACTTTGGGGGTGTTTACTGTACTCTCCATGTGGGGTCTGTGCTGGCCACTGGGGAAACCCCAGGACAGTTTTCTTTAGTGTGGAAAAGAAGTAGTCATCACCACAAAAAGCTTACTCGCTTTTGAATATTTCTGCACTCTCTCTTTTGGTCCTCACAGCAATCCCATTTTCATTTTACCCATGAGAACTTTAAGGCTCAAAGGAATTTTCAGGTAGGCTCAAACCATTCAGACAGAGTGTTTTTGAAATTAAAGCTGGAAGAACTCAGGTGTTCTGTTTCCAAGGGCAACTCTGCTTCCCCGCCAGTGGGTTGGAGGGCAGCCAGCACAGGCTGGAGTTGCTTAAGCAGACACTGATTCAGTGGCCTAAATGTGGTAATACGACAGCATGTGGACCACCGTGTCAGAGCACAGAGCCCGGGCGCTGCAGTCAGCCTGACCAAGAGTCGAATCTTGTCTCCACCACTTCCAGGCTAAAAGACCCTCTTTCTGCAAGCTACTTTCTCCTTTCCTCTGGGCTTCAGAGATCCTCATTCCACTGGGCTGGACGTGGGAGGAGCGCCACTTCTGCAAGGGTCTCCACAATGAAGTGAGACTTTGCAAATGCCTGGGAGTGACTCCAACATGTCACTGCTAAACTCCTCAGGGTACCTGTTACAGTTCAGCATTACACACAAGTTAGCATCTCATTTTAGAGGCGGTGGCCTGCCAACTCGAGTAGCTAAAAAGTAATGATCTGCCTCTCAGAGCAACTAACATTTTTCTGTTCTTTAGAGTTTTTCGACAGTGAATGGTGATAGTCACGGAGCATTTCTGACAGATGGACAGACGCACAGCTCGTAAGTGCCAGGCATATTATGGAGCCTGGTACCTTGTAAATCTGAGAGAACGCACAAACTATAGCAAAATGAAAATTGTTTATCTCTATCTCAGCATGAGCAAAACTCACTTGATTCTTTTGTTTCCCATCACTTTGTTTATCAACTGGACTTAGGGCAGAGGAAATCCCCTTTGTCCTTTGCTTTGGAGATATCTGCTGCAAAACACAAGTTCTAAACCCCAATGTCAGTTTTATCTCCTGTAGAGGAAAACAAAATTCACCTGGCAGTAACGACTGCCACCTTGTGGCCACATAAAAAACTTTCACCAGGAAAAATAGATTGCCAATGCTAAAGAAGGCTTAACACGAATACCATGGAAATCTCACATGGTCACTAATATTTTGGTATATTGTATAATTTATATTTTCTTGAAAAATTCTGCATTGTATAAGTTGTTTTCCCTGGGCTCCCAATCCATTCCAGGTTAATTTCTTGTTCTACTCTACAATAATGCACTCTAATTGCTGGTGACACCTCTGACTGCTTCTATAGAATCACAGGGACTTTCTTTTGTAGGTGAAAGTCCCCTGGAGTTGAGCATGAGACACTTATTTGTTTATTCAAGTAACTTGAAACAACAGCCAATGCATAACCAGACTAGGCTCACTAAATGTCTATCAACTGTCTGACTCAAAGGTTATCAGTTGATTAAGATCATCTAACTTAATGTCACAGGAAACCATCTGCTCTTTAGCTCAGGCCCTGGGGAAGATGACCTGAGCTGTAGCTGCCCTGCCATTTGATTTATGGTATGAGCAGGAAGCTCAAACTTGAAACACAGGTAGGTGACTGGTACCACCCACCAAATGGTACCATCCTTCTTCACAAGGGTGTTTCAAGCCCGAGCTATCACCCCACTCCTCTCTGAGAAAACAGCTGGATGGGGTGGGTGAGGCTGGGGAAGGGCTTTGTGTAGGCAAAGCACAGATCACAGGAAATAGCATTTCAGGGCTACTCAGGTAGAAGTGGAGGACAGTCAGAGCTGGAGCTCCAAAGGAACCACAGACCTCAGACACGAGAACAGAGAATCAGGAACAAGGTGGCAGGGGCAGCAAAGACGGCAGAGAATCTAGTGCTGTCTGGAGGAGACACAAACCATGAGGAAGAAGGAGCACAGGAGGAACCATGGCATAAGAAGCTATTAGCTGACCCCCCAGCTCCTTCCAACACGCTTGGACAGCATAGGAGCACATGCTGTGCATCCCCTTTATATATCCTCTTGTCTCCCAGGTTCCAGTCTTCCATGCCCCACCCATTCTCTAGGCTGCACATGAGTCCCTTCCAACAAAGATTTGAACACAAGTGACCTTTAAACACATGCGAATGCTCAGCCTCACTCACAGTCAGAGAAATGCAAATTAGAATGCTGAAGAAGCCATTTTTAAATCTCTCTGATCATCAGAATGACAGAGAGCATGCTGTTGATGGGAGGGTGGGGGGAATCGGCCTTCTCACACATGGTCTAAGAGTATGAATTTAGAAATTCAGCAAGCAAGTGGTAAGAGCCTGGGCTCTGCAGTCAGACTGCTTGGCGTCACAACCTCCGCCACTTGGAAGCTAAATTTCTTTGCCTCAGTTTCCTCATCTGTAAAATGGGAGTGATGGTAATGGAATGTACTTCGCAAGGTTACTGTAAGGCTAAAATGAGATAATACAGATAAATCACTTAGAACAGTGCCTAGTATAGATGGTGAAATGTTAGCTATTTTTAACCACTATGGGGGAGAGGTCCAATTGGGCCCAAAATTTTAAATGCTTATACTTCTGACAAAGCAATACAACTTCTAGTAGTGTATTGCATAGAAATAACAGCACACTATGTAAAGATAGAAGCACAAGGGTACTCACTGCCACATTGACTTAAAAGACCAGGTACAACCTAACATATAGCAACAGGAAACAAGTTAAATAAACTGTGTCATAGTCTTAAAATGCAGCCATTAAAAAAATGAGGCAGCTAGGTATATACAAATATTAAACAATCTCAAAGATATATTATTACATTTTCAAAAAAAAAAAGAAGGTATAGAATGGTGGGCAATGTATAGTACCATTTTTAAAAAATAAACATGAATGCATATATGTGGTATGAATGTATGCTGTCATGCAAAAAATTCTTTGAAAGGCTACACATGAAAGTAATAACAATTGTTTCTTTCAGAGAAAGGATATGGATATTTGGAGGATGCTTATATTATCTATTGCAAAACAATTAGTTTTATAGTTGAAAAGTACAATCTGATATGTCATTTCTCTATTTAAATTTCCTCCATTTGCTCGAGACTAAAATCCATGCTTCTTAACACAACTTACAAGACCCTTCACGGGCCGGTCCTGGCCACCTCTGCAGCTTCAATTCTCGCCATACTTCAACCTCCATACTTCACGCACACTGAGCTATATTCACATCTCATGTTCGCGCTCTCTGCTACACCTGTGCATATGCTGTTACCCTACATAGCACATTCGCCTTCATTCTTTTTGCCTAATTCTAATTCACCCTTCTAGTTCCAGCTTTGCTGTTACTTTTCCTGCACCATCCTGAACCAGGTGGGATGTCCTGCACCTGCTCCCACCACACCCTCTACTGCCCTGATGGTAGCACAGACAAGGGACATGTCCCAAATTCAGTCCCAGAATATCTTCTGACTACAAGAAGATTCTGAAATATCTGTGGCAGATTCTCTTAGTGCCTTCTCAGGAGCCATCTCTCTTCATTGACAGCAGAAGCCCAGTTCTGCACCCAGTGCTAACTTGGCTGCACAGTGCCCCGCCCCAGGGGATAAGTCAGAGTTGGTCGGAGTCTACCACGGTAAACCAGCTTATCTTGGCTAGATACTTGCTCTTCCAGATTCCTTTGCAACTAAGGATGAACAGGTGACTCGATTCTAGAAAGATTTTTCTCTCCCTGATAAAAGGAGTGGCCCATGCATCCCTTGTGCCTGTGCCCATGTTTCCTGCTTTGGATGCTTCCATATGAGGTGTGACGTTGAACGCTGTGGCAAATAACTTAAGACTCCAAGGAAAAGAGAGGCCCAATGTCACCGAGCAACTAATCCAACTCTAATATTGCTACCATCAGACTCTTCCAGGGAAAAAGTTTATACTAATGAATTAAACTCATTCTTGCTGTTTATTCTGTAAACCACTATTAGTTGGGTATTGTTAACTGCAGCCAAAAGCATTCCTAATTGCACATCATTACAGGGTAAACAGACTCTAATCCCAGGATCAGGCCAAAGAATTGAGCCAGGTGTCCTTCATTAAGGCCAGGAGCAATGTCTTGGGACATTACAAACCAAGGTGCCCTCTCTGGGTCTACCCTGGTCTGAACTCTTGTTAAGCATTTAGGAGTAGAGCCAAGGTCAAAGTCACCAAGATAAGCAGCCCATGACATTTATTCTTAGACTTCTGTAATCTTCACTCTGCTAGTGAAGACTTACATAGAAAGAGCTTTTCAATCTTAGGACACAACCCTCAAAGTGACCTTTCTCCAGGACAGCATGAAAGGGAGGGTTAATTCACTGGTTTCGACTCTCCACCAGAGGTCATCAGAAGTCACTGGGTACCTTCATGTGGCCCTACCATGGGAGCTCATCCCCCAAAGTTTCTGACATACTATATAAAATCATCAACATCTTATCGTCTCAACTCTTAAAGAAGGAGGCCATGGGGACACTGAATGCAAGTCATACTTACAGGGGTCTGAAAGCAGCAGAACAACTGAGTGAGGAAGGGGTGGTTGCGTGCCAAGGACAGGATCCTTTTCTCAGTCATTGTGCACTCCACGTCGTCATCCTGCAGGATCACGTCCTTCTTTAGCACCTTCACGGCATAGAGGTCTCCTGTTTCTTTTATTCTTGCGAGCATCACCTACCGCAAAGCAGGAGGGAGCATGAACTCTTGAAGTTCTTAAGGAATAGGTATACACAGGGTAAAAAGGGAATGGCATGTGGGAAATGTGTGTATACATATGCACACACTCAAACAACACACATGTAACATGCTTACTTTAACCCAAACAGTGAAAGCCAAGACTCACCTTCCCAAAGCTTCCCTTCCCCAACACGCGGATGAACTCAAAGTTGTCGATACCAAATCGGTTGGAAGAATTAACCCCCACCCCATTTCCTTCTTTGGTGCTCTCCTTTCCCTGTCGTCTTAGAGTAGATCTGGAAACGAGCTTCTGCAAAGAAGAGAAGAAATACAGCGTGGGCATGAAGCACTTACGGATGAAGAAGACCTTACTTGCAGCCCCGCCTCCCTCCCGCCCCCCCTCATTATAACACATGGGGAAAAATCATTTCAGTCTGACACGTGGTCAGGTTCTGCCATTCGAAACCATCCCCACATGAGCTCCTAATCTGTGCTTACTGTATCTGGGAAAGAATCAGTTAAAAGTATATCCGAGCCCACCGAGTTTCAGTTTGTGCTCAAATGAGCGTGTATAGGGACACAAACGCTAGTCTGGTCCCTCGGGTTTCTTGCGACTGCTTTCTACGGGGTGGTCGGATCCCAAGAGCGCCACCTGGTGTCCACTTCCCAAAGAGAGGTTTTCATGTTTTCTCAGAGGATCAAATACCACTCCAAACCAAGACATGAGTGAATCAAGCAACATTATTTACACAATATTTTAAACAGTTTCACACACATACGCACATCTGTCTTCCCACTTGATTAATTTTTAACATAATAAAATTGTTTTTAACATTTTTTCATGTTTTTAACATTTTTTCATGTATATTTTCCATATCTTTAAATATCCTCCAAGAACATGAGTTTTAAGGGCTGACCAATATTCCGTTTTGTGGATATATCACAATTTATTCACTAATTCCCTACTGTTTGAGGTATATATGATCTCTCATATTTTAGTAGTATAAATAACCACAGTGAACATTCTGGCATTCAAATCTTCAAAGCGGGGATTAGGAGTGTAGGCTTTCAAGCACGCTGCCTGGGTTCAAATCACAGCTCTGCAACCTAACCCACTGACCTTGGGCAAATTACCTACCCACCATCTCTGTGCCTCAGTTTCCTTTTCTAAGAAAGGGGATGTTACAGCACCAGCTGCTTGAGTTATTATGAGGATTAAATGAATAAATGCATATAAAACACTTAGATCGGAGCTGGCACATTCAATAAAATGAGCTGCGTTGTCATCGTCATGATCATCATAATTAAGATAATTTTCCAAAAACCGAATTCTTTAAGCCAAAGTGTTAATTTTGAAGACTTCTGCTACACAATCAGCTTGCACTCTAGGAAGGCTGACACCAGTACCATGAGAATTCCAATCTCATGACACTGAACCAGAAGTGTGGCCTCCTTGGTAGGTTCCACAGTCCCATCACAGAGAGGGTGCTACCTAAAGGCAAGGTGACTTGCAGATGCTCACCTTGGGACATTTATAATACAAGCTACCACTAAACAACAGATCAAAAGTCTAACATCCTGGAGCTTTTGACCTATTTAGATGTTTTTAAAAGCTTATCTGGGGCAACTTCTAAGCAATGTTTGCAATAAACAGTGCACAATAGCCTGAAACTATTACCTACTCAACCAAATAAAACAGTGACAGCAATATATAAAATGGATCACCACAAAAATCCAATTGTTTTAATAATTTCTCCTCCAGATCTCTGACCATGAATTTTTCAAAGAGAGAAAAATTTTACCAGCTTGAATTTTACTTCCTCCACTTAAATACTTCCCCTGGTTGGACTGGCCCTGGCAGAAAATTCTAAGCCCGTGTTCCTCAAATTATTTTTAACCCATTCTTCTCTTTTGATAGACAGGTTTCTCTGTCTCCTTTTAAGGTACTGTCAAGTAACAGGTATCTTTGGTTTTTCCATTATTAAATATCATAATATTAAAGATATTTGGTTCAAATGACATACGACAAATGGCACTGTCCATTCCTAGAGGTTGTGCTACACGGTCTAGCTTATTCCCATTGTATTTTAGAAGCCCTGGTGTGGGCTGAATCCTTAATCTCTGCTCTTCAGGAACAGCTATTTGTGTATTAGAAATCCTTCTCATGGTATTAGCATCCTGCCTGTCTATTCACAAAATGGACAGACTTTGATGGACTCTGCCAATGTCTTCCTGAAATATCAAGAAATACAATGTCAGTCCAAGTCCCCGATCTACCAGGTATCCTTCAGTAAAAAGGCGATGGGATGGCTGGTGCTGACGTGTTCTGGATAACCAAGAACCTGACAGTGATTGTGCTTCCTTTCCTAGGTGCCCAGAGATATTTCACAGTGAAGTCTAGAATTTTCCTGAACCAGCTATCAAGCTACACCTTTCGGAAATCAGCCATAGCCATGGCTCTTTCTCAGCTCTCTGCAGACACTGCTTAGGAAGGCAGCAATGGGATGTGGGCCTGGATGACGGCAGGGGGCGTCACTCAGGGAGGTGGCAAAACAAAACCGGCCAAGGCGACTGATACAACTCCACCCACTCCTGGGAGCTGAGAGGAAGGAACTCCTATCTGTTGCTAAACTTGAAAGATAAATTCACAATCTATAAACAAAAACTGCAGAACTGCTGGATTCCAGGGCTGTGGAGACTTTCGGATATCTTCAAGTTCAACCCTTCCATAACAACGGAAGCTGAGGCCCATTACCCATCAACTGCACTGCCAGGGGCCCAGCCAAGAGCATTACCCAGACCCCTGGATTCCAAGCTTTTTACCAGACCACAGTGACAGGAAGCTGATTTAAAAAAAAAAAAAAATCCTTCTGCTTCTTGCTATATCTGCATGCTCATTATTTCTTGTCTCATAACAGTATGTAGAATCTGATTTGTGGAACAAAATGCTCTTTAAAAATGCAATAAATCTGTTTATTGTGTTTGCTGAGATTAGAAACTTTGATTACGCCACATGTGCTCATTCAGGGTTACCACATGTGAACAACTTCTAAATTACAACAGATGAATAAAACAAAGTCTCACCGAGGTTGGAGAAATATTTCCGGGTTGGAGGCCCATCCCAGCCAGAGTCTTGGCTAGCTCCACTGCGTTCACCCCACAGTTAGGGGCCACGTTTGCTTGACATCGGATGTGTACATTCATTTTACATACTGGAAGGAAAAGAAGGGGGTCCACATTCAGAAAGAAGCCACGTCAACATGTGCTGCGAAAGAGAACTTTAATAACCTGAAAGATGATGACAGAGGAACTGTACAGGCTGAACAATGCCATCTCCTCATAAAATTAAACTTACACTCATAACGATCCCTGACATTTTTATCTATTTCTGTTTTGTGCAGAAGCAGAAAGCCTGGCATAAAGAAGAAGAATAAATTTCGAATATATTTTTTTTTCCATCGTGACTTGATGAAAGACATTCATCTAAATCGTGTGTGACAGTCACTGCCGACTTAACAGTGTGATTCAATAGAGGGATCGAAACGTTCATCAGTGTGACAGTTCAGTCAATTGAGTAACAAGGAATCATGCTAATTGACTTTATGGTTTTCCTTCTCTCTAAATAAAAAGGTAGCAGTCGACATGCCCCAGGCAGATCACTGTTCAGACAGGATGGAAATGGTGTTTCTGAGAGAAAAACTAAGTGAAGCTTTCTTTCTGAGTATTGTTGTGGTCGGCAGCCCTCATGGCACAGAGTGTGGCATCCTGTGGGCCTGCGGTTCTCGGTGCTTGCAGCCTGTGGTTCTAACCTTCTTCGTGGGGGAGAGCAAAAAAAGCATGGTGTTTAAAGGTCACAGTAAATGGCAGTTGGAAGAGGAGAGTGAAGCAAGCTATGCGCCTGTGCACAGGAAGCCGACCCGGGACAATGAAGACCAGAGGTTTAATCAGCAGAAAGTTCTGACGCAGTTTCTTCACGAGGGCCTGCTGAAGGGAGGCAGCACTGATGCAGCAAGCAACGAATCCTTGTTTCTGGAGTGTCACTCCATTTAGGTTTGGTGGGGCCTGAATTTATGTACCTTTGGGTGTAATTCTCTTTAAGAAAAAGAATCCCTACTCAAGTGAAGAGCTCTGGAAGGTGACCTTGCAAGGAAGGGAGCCTGAGGCTTAAGCTTCACTGGTTTCGCGGGAAACCCACCTCTCTCAGGAAAGCTAGTACAGAGACACACAAGTCTACAGTGGCCTTTCAAAAGCCGCATGTGACAATAAAAGCAAAAATTACATAAGCTGGACTAGAGCAGGTGTGCTACCCTCAGGGCCACCAGGGACAAGAACGAGACAGATGAGCCCCATACGTGGTTCTGCATCAACAACTATACAAAAACCGAAAGTGACTTTCATGCTGGAAACCCACACCTGAGTCAGACCATCCAGCACACGATCGAGCAGTGTCTAAACCAAAGCTATACGTGAGCCGGCTGCTGTTTTGACTGTTTGAAAAAAAGAATTAATAAATGGTGTTCTAGAGACATAAAAGAATGTGCCCTTCTTAAAAACAAGTGACTGGTCCCTTTTCGTTGACAGAAGGAGGCTTGGTAATTCCAAGCTGTCGATGAAAGTTAGTTGATGCCAACCCTGCCTCCCCATGACAGGCACTCAATGGGAGATGGCTCAAGGCCAAGAACTCCCCAACTTCTGACAGAACAAGTCAGTTCTTACTCCAGATCCCTTGCTGAGGCAAATACTCTAGGTTCCACTGGGCACAGTTAGTGAAGTGTAGGCCCATGGCCAAAGCTTAAGTCTCCTTCATTCCACCTACCCCTCCGATCCTACCCCCTGCATTACTCCTTGAGAAGACCCAGGGCAGCTCGAGTTATGCTTTTACAACCCGATTCCTGCTTATTTCCGATGAGGCCATCAGACCTACTCTCCTGCCAGTTCTTACTCGCAACCTTGGCTTCTCTTTTGGCCACCTCACTCACTAGCCCCTTCCACCTCTGACCAAGATCCCATTTTTCTCTTCTCTCAAATATCTATTAAAACACACAATGACTGGTATTTACTCAGCACTAAATAGATGGTAGCCAGCTAGCTGGAACACTGAATTTAACACTGACTTAATATTCCACAGTTAGGAAATCTGTGAATCAGATGTAGCTCTCTTTCCAAACCTGACAGGGACATATAAATATATAAATAGTAAGACGTTAATTTACAAAGTATCTAAAACCATCAGTCCTAGGTTAGATTCTGAACCTATGGAATTCCAAAAGCTCACGGCCTATTCTCGTGAAGTGGGAACCCAGTACCCTAGCATCTTACTTTTACACTGAAGTCCTTGTCGCATTATCCCCCAGAGCAGCGAGCCACAGTGATCGCAGAATGTTGGCACTTTGTAGTTGTGGATGCTGAACTTGTGTGGGATGTTGATTCCAAACCTCTGTTCAGCAATCTGTAAAAAGGAAATAAGACAAGGGCTGAAAAGTTCCACACCAACATCTTTTGTGAAAACTGTAATAGGAGCCTGTCAAATGCAGAATGTTACTATGACACCTGAGCTGGGTATATTATTTTACTACTCAGCCATGATTAATTACTTGGGCCTTACTAAGCAGACTAAGCACATTTTCTAATGAATAACACTGGACAGAAACATGTGGTGTACATTAGATTGTTCATCATTTGAGAAGATAAAAAGAAGTGAAATTTTTCGATTTATCTTTTGTATTTGGACTGTATTTCTCTTCCTGCCTACGTTCTCACACTCATGCCTACTTCCTAGAACCTTCTAACTTTAGGATTAAACAGGTCTTTTATAGGCTGCATACATTTGCTATCACCACAAGTTCTTTCAGAAATTGTGTCACAAGGTGGGGGTGTGGGGAGAAGGTGATACCCAGAGGTCATGGAACCACAGAAAGAATTCATTCCAAAGGCTGGAGGAAGCCAACAGTCACCTTATTTAAGAAGCACAATAACATACTCATCACATCAATTCTGTCTTGAAGTATTGATCCCATTTTAAGATTGAGGCAGAGAGAGTAGCTAGCCAGCAGAGGCTGGATCTGCGTTCAAATCCCGGTTATCTGATGTCAAACTCAGGGTGGTTTTCCCTCCCTCCAAATCTCTCTCCAAATCAGTAAAACTAAATCTCTATAGCTTATACCCAGCTGATCACTAATGGGATCATCTCAAGGACAGGTCATGCAACACAAGTAGAAAAATACAAATGCCATAATATGAAAAGGACAGAAATTTCAATTCTGATACCACCATCGGCTTCAAGGAATGTGGAAGGGAAGTGGAAAAGAGAGAGAAAAAGAGGAAGCTGGAGAGAGACAATGGAGAGAAAGAGAGAACAGAGAGCGAGAAAGAGAGCGCACATCCACATGCGAGAACAAGAGAGCAGGCATGCCTGGGCACAGGAGCTCATGCGGGCACCTCGTCAGCAAACTGCTATCCTCTTACCTTTGAATCCACTTTGTTAATATTGTTTTGGCACGTGCAGGCTGTAACAATTAGATGGTGGCAGCGCTTATGGACAACACAGGTACACACTAGGAAATTAAATTCACAATTATACATTTATCGGAGGCTCACAGACCAGCCAGTTAGTTACACTAGAGTCAGCAAGGGCTGTACCAAGCCAAGGTGCTTGATTTGGATGTCTGGCTCACAGAATGGCAGCCAGCACTCTCACCTTTCCTATTCTCTTTACCATCATTCTAATCTGGCCTTTGCTCGTGCTTGAACTGTTCTTCAAGTCCTGAGCTTAATTCATTCTTCCTAACTTTAATCCTTCCTGCGCCACCTCCAGAAGAATCGTCCCACAGTATGGTTCTGGTCGTCTTACTCCATGAGCTAAATCTTCAATGGCGTCTCATTGCTAGCCAAAAGAGTTCAAATTTCCCAGCCAGGTTTCAGGCCCTCCAAAGCCTACTCCAAGCTTATCTGTCACCTTTCTTCTATGGGAGCTCTTTGTTCCAATAAAAACTAGACTAGTTTCTCTTCCTGGAGTAAATCTTCACCCTCCCCTGCACATGCTCCATGTCCTTCTCAATCCCTAGGATAGCATCCTTTCCTATAGCCTAACTAAATCTTAAGCATATAATAAGACACAACTTTAGAAGTCTCTTCCATAAAAATACACTATCCCTGGCTATCTTTCTAGATTGAAATCATCTCTCCCTCCTCCAGTCTCCTACCACTAGCCTACACCCCTCATTCCAAGTTTTGCACATATAGCCTCTAATGCCCTCAGAACTCGCAGCCAGCATGACACCTTGAATAAATTAGGTGTTCATTAAATATTTGCACAATGATTCAATCAATTGCTTGACTATTTAGAGCTTTCTGAATAACTTTTTTCATTTTCATCCAGACAATTGACACAGTACAGGCAGAGTCCAGTCAGTCATTAAAGGATGAATATGTGCAATGAAGCAGTATGAAAGTATACATTATTTTTAAGATCTTTCAAGATACATGGAAGTATTTAGGATTAAATTCATAAAGACAGATGACATGTCAGCAAATAGCACTATCTTTTAAAACAAATACAGCTTTCATCAGGTTGAATTCTCAAGAGAACCAGACTGAAAGTTCCCAGAGAACTGGTCTTTTTACATGAGTGGATCTCGAAACCATCCTTCACACAGAAAAACCTTATACTCTGAGGCATTTGGGTTTGGTTTTGTTTTTCAGTTAGCTTGCCTAGAGGTTTATCAATTTTATTGATCTTTTCAATGAACCAGCTTTTGATTTAGTGGATTTTCTATACTGTTTTCCTAATTTCCATTTTACCAATTTCTACTTAATTTTATTAGTTTTCTTCTCACTTTAAGTTTCTCTTCTTTTTCTAGTTTCCTAAGATGAGACTAGATTGATTTTAGATCTTTCTTCTTTTCTAATATATGCATTCAATACTATAAATTTCCCTTTGAGCACTGCTTGCACTGCATCCCACATATTTTGACAAAGTGTACAGTTTTAACAATGTGCAGTCAAAAATTCACGTATAACTTTTAACTCCTCCAAAATTTAAGTTGTCCCTCAGTATCTATGGGGACTGGTTCCAGGACCCACCACTCCCCCAAACATACAGAGACACCAAAATCCACAGATGCTCATTCCCCTACATAAAAGGGCATAGATCGATGCATATAGTCGGCTCTCTGCATCTGCAAACTCCCAACTGCAGATAGAAACAGTACAGGTATTTTTTGCAAAAAAATATACATATAAGGGGATCTGCAGAGAAGTGGACCCAATGGTTTCAAAGCCGTGTTGTTCAAGGGTCAAACATACATTCGTTTTCATTTGGTTCAAATATTTTTTTATTTTCTCGTGAGTCTTCTTTTACCCATGTGTTATTTAGAATGTGTTGTTTAATCTCCAAATATCTTAGGGCTTCCCAGCTATCTTCCTGTTATTCATCTGTAGTTTAATTCCACTGTGGTCTGAATAGATATTTTTTTATGACTTCTTTTAAATTTGTTAAGGTTTGTTTCATGGCCCAGAATGTGGTCTATGTTAATAAATGTACCTTGTGAATTTGAGAATGTGTATTCTGCTGTTGTTAGAAGTAATATTCCATAAATGCCAATTTGATCAAGTAGTGATATTCTTACTGATTTTCTGCCTGCTGGATCTATCAGTTACTGAATTACTGAAAGTCTCCAACTGTAATAGTTGATTTGTCTATATATCCTTGCAGCTTTACCAGTTTTTACATGTATTTTGATGCCTGTTAGGTGCATAAGCATTAAGGACTGTTATATCTTCTTGAAGAACTGACACTTTTATCATTGCACAATGCCTCTCCTTATCGCTGATAATTTTCCTTGTTCTTAAGTTTGCTTTGTCTATTTGCTTTTGATTAGTGTTAGTATGGTATATCTTTCTCCAACCAGGTATTTTGTTTTATTTCTCTTAGGAAGATGTGAACAAATTGATGTCTTTAGATCTCCTAACCACTGTTCTTTCCTGCTTTTTTCAACAGCAGATGGCTGACTGAAAATCAACCCATCAAATATCCTGGCATTATGCATAAAATGGACCAGAATTGACTGCAGGAAATATCTTCGCGCTGGATAGATCCAGGCCAAAAAGTGACATAGATTCTGACCTTCGAACTCTGTTTTCATTTGGGGCTGGGATTAATAGTATAAGGTCAATTATTGTTGTTGTATTGAATATTTATTCATTTTTTTCTAAATTTCAGAACTCAACAGAATTGTTCATACATATTAAAGTAAAAATTAGATCTTATTCCATCCTAAGGGAAATAATATTTTACCTCACCTCCTCCAGAAAAGAAGGCAGGATTACCTTATTTACACATAGGCTACCACTCACTCTAGATCTATACACCTGTCCTTCAATTAACATCATATTTTTTTATGTGAAGTTTTTTATACGTGGCAAATATTCCACCCATTTGCGTGGACTTTTTATAAGTGGTTTCCATTTATGTCGTCTCATTTTACACTATTCTTTCTTTTTCATTTCCATTTTTAGCAATTATTCTTTTTAAAAACCAATAGCTTAACTCAAAAACATACAAAGAACTAATACTAACACACAATTACCCCTGGAACATTTGAAAATTGATCATTGTGCCACGGTTGGTAACAGTTGAAACTAATTTAACAAAATGTTAAATCGCTGATCGATAGCTACAGGAATTGGCACGACACACCAGTTGCATCATAATTCAATTAAAGATACATATTTCCAAATATTTCAAGCAATGAAGATAATGACTTTGTGCCAAATAAAAAGGTTGATTGCTTTAGATTATAGCACAGACACTGAGAATGAAAAAACTTTATTTTGGTTTTTCTGAATTTTCATTAGCGTTTTTTTGTGAAGATATGTGAAAGATTTTTAAAATCATATCAGCCTATTTCTTTAGTATTTTTTTCATGGTGGACTCTTTTTACATTGTTTCTTCCATGTAAAATAAAGACACGTGAAACAGTAATCTGCGTAAATTGAGGGATGGGTATAGTGCTTTTTTACCAATCATCTGTGGGATGTAGATGGAGAAGATGCCGTGTATGTAAACTGTGTGATGACAGCCAAGCCAAAAACATGGGAAGCCCAAGTAAAAGACAAGAGCTGTCCAGGCTGGCTGAATCTTCTGGGTAAGAAGTCTTCTTTCACTCTTCCCACTTTTATTTCATTCCAATTCTACCTGAACACTAGTAAGCTGGGTTGATCTTAGAATTGTGATAATCAAAAAAACTGAATGCATAATAACTTATAAGATCATTATGAGCCCAACTTTGAACATTTCTCACATTTTTTAAAAAAATGAAAGAAAGAAACAAACAAACTTGAATAATAGCTTCTATTTCCAATCAGGTAAAGAGAAAACATCACTGTGCTACTTCTCACCTCTACTGACAATGGAATTATAAAAAAACAAAAACAAAATAAAAAGTTTATCTTTCATGTTATTGTAGACAAAACTTTAAACAACTGAATTTTATTAGGTATCCCGGCTTTAGGAATCAAAACATCCTCGCTACATTGTCTAAAAATACACAGCCAAAATTAAACCAAAACTAAAGTTGTAATTCTATTGTGGGGTGGGGGCGGGAGGGGGG